ATTATCATAGATTAAATGTAAATTGTTAGTTCTAGAGAAATGACCAATTAAAAAAAAAAATAGTTAACTAAAAAAGTTTTTTCATGATAAGTAGGTACCAGGAAAATTCTATAAGATTTACTATAAAATATTACGAACATTAAAATTTAAATATAATCTAAGATTCAGCAAAAATACTTTACTAATTAAAACAATAAATTGCCAAAAAATATAAAATTGAAAGCCTGTAATACAAAAAATAATTATGTAAGTGTAGTATAATAAAATAAAAATGCTTGAAACAATTATAAGCATAAACTTAACAAAGTGTACTTAATACTTGTAATTGCTTTGAGTATAGTAAACTATGGTAGGTATCAGTGAAATACATTTAGCAATAAATATATTTCAACATTAAAATTTCATTTTTCTATTGAAAACGAACTATAAAATAAATATTACTTTACCGCTAACAACAATACAAGATTATAGTGAGATACCTACAGTAATATAAGGAATAACTAAATACCTACATTTTATGTAGCCATTCATTAGACTAGGATGCCCATATAAGAGAAAAATTACTAATGGATCATCTGAAATAAAGATCTATGAACATTGCACGCGGCACGCTTATGTGAATAAAATTGTTCATTTCTTGGTACTATTCCAAGTATAGTGAAGCTAATAAGGTATATTGTGACAAAACAAGTTCCCTTTTTATAATAGCTAGGTATAAAGTAAATTTTTAATAAAATAAAATTAATAAAGATATATGAATGTATGATGATACCTACTTAAATGTATCTATTTATTATTGTACTAAATATGTACACCAAAGATATTACGATTGAATGGCATATGTTCTATAAATTTGGATGAAACATTTATTAAAATATTGATAAAAATCTGGTGATTTAAAAAATATTATACCACACACTATTTAAAACGCATTAGGCAAAACACTAAGGGACACTTGAGGATGGAATAGTATTGAAGATATGAAGAAAACAATGCTTTTCTTGTACCATTTAATTTAGGAGAGAATATAGAATTTCTCATTATTATACTAGACAATCTACATATTGGGGGACGAGGTGACCGAGTGGTCTGACTCTTCCGCTGCGACGCAGCCGGTCGCGGTTCGATCCTCGGCCACCAGGCGGCATTTTTCTCCGGACAAGTCGCGGTGACCGGAGAGCAAGTGCTGCCATCCCCCACCCCCGGGGCATGGCAGAAACCTACGGGTGCCCCATTCGAAATTCTGCCAAAACAAACACACACGTGTTCCCCCTACCGTTCCAAAAACCTACAAACCATCAATACAAAAACCTACAGTACCTACTAATAGCTAATGGCCACAGTTGCCGGGCTCAGGATCAATCAAAAAAAAAAAAATCTACATATTAATGTAATATTGGAAACTCACTGAGAGACCACAAATTTTTACTATAAAATATTTGCAAAAATCTACTTAAATAGTTTTTTTTTTCCGATAAACATCAGAAGAATTTAACTAATACCTACTATAGAACTATATATACTATTTAACTTACTGAATAAATATAGTATCAATAATAATTCACTGAAAATTCTACAGTTTGATTTCAGTAAAAACACTGACACAAAGCAGCACACCATTGTATGCTCATTTACGTTGACAGTGGACTTAAGTTGGAAGCTTAATAGACCCTTAAATAGTTAAATGAATATTTTTTTTTTTTGTGTGTGTTTAGTATATTTACAGTCTGTGATTCAGCAAAATAAGTATAGAATATATTTCTTTCAGTACACGCCAACAATAAAAATGAACAATGAAGTAAATTATATGAGGAAGAAGACCATATAGAACTAGAGTTTTTTTATGACTATTAGGTAAGTAGATCCCATGAGAGCATATCATTGGATAGTGTTGATTTAATAGAGTGGAGGGCAATTTTTAAAGAACAATTCATAAAATAAATTCTTATTTAAGAAGTACCTACCTATTATTACTATATCATCATAACCTAATATTTGTTGATAAAAATATAAAATACGTCGGTAATATTGTAATCTAATGTAGATAATGTTTACATAGGCATTAAGTTTGCAACAGTAGTAGTGTTGATACGAGCTGCCATGAATTCTATCGCCCCCACTCAACTATCTAACATTTAAATACAAATTTATACATGCATATGATGCATAAATTGCTGTATATTTATGAAAAAATGACTGTGTAGTCGCTATCACAAAACGTTTTATCGTAAGCTTTGATTAATAATAAATTAATAACACAATAATATTGTTTCATAGGTACATATCTAATTTAGGTATATATCAGTAATTGTATAACTAAAATAAAATAAGCAAATTTTATGAAAAGTTACTTAGCACATGCACAGCCAAAGCTATACAGGTACAAGAAGCTTAAAGCAAATATATTGGAGTTGGTATGATATAGGGTATGATACAAAATGAATAATTGTATTATAGTTCATAACATCATAATTCAGATGCTCACGAATCGCCGCTTCCAAGTATTTCTGGGTAATAAAGAAAATAACTAATAGCCTTTCTCGAGGATCGGTATTTGCTTGTGCTCAATTAAACTTATATATACATGATCTGCCAGAAACGAAAGGGCTTAAGTTTCAATACCCGGACGATACTGCAATTGCTTATCAAAGTACTAATAAATACTTCACCAAATGACGCTTTAAACCTAATCCTTCCAAGACTAAAGTATGTGAGCTTCATGTAAACAACAAGGAAGAGCTAAAAGTGATATTTAAATGAGTACTAAAGACACAACTAACAGTAGCACTGGCGTATTAACATACAGAGTGGCCGAATATGGTGAAATAGTTTACATGTAAAGAAAATTGTTACACAACAACACTGTGAATGTGTGATGATGTGATGAGAGTGATTAGCGGCACAGTAAAATCAACACAGTTACAGTGGTTATCAGTGTAAACCGACATAGTTCCATCAGATTTAAGTAAAAAACAGTTTTAGTTATTAGTTCACAGATGTACATAGGTAATTAATTAAAAACTATTTTAACTGATGAATAAAAAACATTATTCATGTATTGGAAAGATTTGTTTGCAATATGAAATTTGTAAATAATGATCTAGTAATGGTTGGTGGTCAATAGATTGTCATATAGTCGGTACTCATACTATATTTTACCAATAAACTATAAACCTTGATAACCTAAACTAGGAAAAACAATTAGGTATTTCAAGTATGTAGGTATAAAATATGAGGTAAAATATGTTTTCAATTAGAATTGCAATCTGTATAAATCTGAAGTTTTTAAGTGTTTTCAAACATATAGGAGATACCTACCTAATAAGAATGTAGAAAAAAATCATCCTATTGAAATACCAAATTTCATATTATACGTAGGTATATTAAAAATGCTAAATTTCCAAAAAAAAAAATGTTTACTGTACCTAGGTATCTAAGGAGGTAGACAATCAAAAAATGTGTTGGCGCAAAATAGTTTGAAACTCTGAACTATTTGTTAAAAATCCAATTTGTGACTCTGGTCTGAATACATTTACACCAAGTTAAATAGAAATTTGAGATGCAGATCGGCTTATCCATCCCTGAAATTTGCATTAATAACATGATGATAAATTAAGTGAGAGGAAAATCAGGTTTGGAGTGGGGAGAAGTCAAACTTCTTAATATGTGGACAACACGTTTCCCCGACCCAACTATGGGTTGCCAAATGCCAACATTGTTAGATAGAGATAGTTAATACCTGTGTAATTTATAATGGGACCTAACTACCCGAGGCTTATGCTATCATTTTCTAACAACGTTGGCCACTGGACAACCTCTCTTTCAATGTTACCAGTCTATTTCTTAAATGTGAGAAACCTCATAATCATGATCAAAAAAAAGCTGGAGTCTCTTTTAAAAAAAATTATCTGATTACTTTATGAGGGAAATCTTACACTTATTTAAACCAAATAATTTCTTGAGCGTCATTAAAATTTTACAATGCAAACCGAAATTTATCACAGAATAAGTGAATTTTCAATTACTAGTAAGTACGTACCCATCGTAGTAATATTCAAAGTTAAGTGTTACAGATTTCTACTTAAATAAATAAAATAAACTTGGAAATAAATCTTGGACAAAGTCGACCAACAACGACTTTGAAGGTAGACTCTATCAAAGTATTGACTCCTAACACGACAAAACTAAAAGTAACGATTAGATTGACAGTTATTTTAGGCGACATAGAAAAATATGAGTGTCTGATAAAGTGGATTTATATTTTATACCATAATTATTAATTACTAAATTGTTTGTGCCGAGGTTTTCACTGTTGTGGACCGGTGATGGCAAACTAAAAATGCGATATCAACATAATATTATTGATGTTGTTGTTGTAGTTGTTGTTATTGTACTATCGCTGATTAGGAGTGTCGAGATCGGATAACTACGATAACAACGAATACAAAATATAATAATGCAAATAATACAGGTAATTAGCGGAGTTCTTAGCGAGCGTGTAGACTTACACGACCATTTCAAATATTTTTTAATAGGCGCGGACGACGACTTCTTCGCCAATAACCCGAGAGATGACATGAGTGTCCGACGGCGATGTACCTGCAGTAACGCCACGATCGCCCTCACAGGCACACCTGCAACGTTGTCGGAGGACGACTCATTTTTTCGGCAGTCGCCATGAACGGAATGCACCGTCTGGGGGGCGCATGCAGGAACAGGAGAGGCGGCGACAATGCCGAGAGAGAGAAACGATACGGACGACTAAAACGCACGGTGGTACGTGCCGCGCGGGTGTGTGGCCGGTAGGTGCGGTGCGCGCGCGCGAGTTTGTCGGCGAATTGCGACACCCGCTCCGGTGCAATGGCGACGGAAACCGGGAAACAGGACCTGTTCGGAACCACCACGACAACCGGTGCGCGGGGTACCACCGCACGCGTACCTCGTAGCGGAAAAGCTCGTGCAATTGCAAAGCGGAAAAACAACTGTAAGCTGGTACCTACGTACTTTCGAGATATTGTGTAGAACTATCTGTCGTCGTGATCGTAGCGTCGATCGATGGAGGTGTCCGTCTGTCTGTTCGTGATCGTCGTCTGCAGATGACGGCAAAAGCGAAAAACGAATCGTCGACGGCTGGTCTGCTGATGGTGGACACAGCACACACGATCGCGACTGGTGCAAATGCGCGCGGCGAAGAATGATCGACGGACGCGATACTCAACCGGACGCTGCGCAGTGCCGAACTAAGTGCCAGGCGGCCGGCGGGCCTCGAGGTGTACCGCTGCGTCGTGCGCAGTCGTGCATCAACGCTCCTCGCGGAGTGGAGAAACCGCATACTCGTTACCCGGTATAATACGATCGGTAGTCGCGCTATCGACTGATAACAAACCACCATATACTCTTTCAATCAGCGCGGTGGTCACGGACCACAGTGTCGTCTATATCATGATAGAAATATTTCTATCATGGTCTATATGGGTCTGGACATTAGTTACCTGATACCTATTGATAGTTTGGTAGTTTGGTGGAAGTGGATGGAACAAGTCAAGGTTTATACTTTATAGATATTAAATCTGTAATCCTTGGGAACAAGTGGCGACTGCAAGCTGCATGATAGAAATAACTAGGTATGATCACAGCAGCTTTGTTTGATTTGTTTTGCGCACCACAATATATCGTGTTGTGTATAAAGTGAAGTCAGCTTCGCAACATTACAATCGGGAACTTCTTTGTTGCCCACGTGACGTCAGCGACATGCTCTTCGGATCTGCGTGATCATACCAGGTTATTTCTTGGTGCAGTACCTATAGGTAATACTTTGATAGACAATAGTGCAATATTGCAGTGAAGGCTATCCAATGATCCGTGTGTATCTCCTGCAACACATAGGTATAATATTTGGTCCGTGAAAGGATAATATTATAATAATTATTTACTATACAATGACTCATTTTATAGTGAAATATATTTTGTAGAAAAGTGTTACACATTAATGATTCATTATATATTATATAATTATTAATCATCCAACATATTATCTTAAGTCAAAACAAAACTAAAATAAATTAAAATACCTAGCTATAAATAGCACATAAAAAGCCGACATTTTTGAAAATGATTTCAAATCTATAGTAATTGCATATATTATAAATATTTAATGAAAATTTCGAGTCTCTGCAGTTTGATATCATTTTTTTATTTTAAAAAAATCGATAGAAATTTTTCACAAAATTGTTTTATAGTTTGTCTCAATTATTTTTGAAAGTACTCATAGCATATTACAGGGATTATTTTTAAAAAAGCGTGCGAGTGAATTTTGCTTTGCTGTACAGTAGGTTACAAGTGGTTCACTGTAGTGGACGGTGTTAAATTTAAATTCAACGATATAAAATTATTAAAATATAAAAAACGATATAAAAACGATTATAAGCAAAGAGTTCAGTCAGCATATTATATTACTTAGAAATTTAGCATATTTGATGATGTTATTGTGATTAGAGTAATTTATTGTACTATTAAGTATTAGCACTACAATAGGTAAAATTTATTTTCGCTAAAAAAATTACATTTGAAAAGTGTGTAAAATGTGATAATAATATTCTCTAAATGTTTCAAGTGGGTACCCACTACCCACGAATAATATTTTTGAATTACAACAAAATAACTTTAATATGTAATTTTGTCCATGGCTAAATGTAATAGCTGGATTTTAACTAAGGAGGCTAAAAAGTAAATATGTATAAAAAACAAAAACATCTATGCTAGGCTACAACATTCCCCCCTCCAAGTTATGCCGATACAAAAGGAAAACACATTATTGTCAAATCAAAACATTGCTCCTCTAAGAATCTAAAATAAGCAACTTAATCTACATAAGTGTTTTGTATTTGTATAGGTAAGGTATTAATAATTATTTACCTCCTATTATATTAGTGATCAAAAATAATCATATAAAACAAACCTATAAAGCCCCTTCCAGACCAACGAACAATTTGTCATCGACAATGTTTTCGATTTCCCGTCATAAGCTGTAACATAAATATTTGTCAACGATCACTGTAAGAAACATATGTTGCCGAAAAATATTTCTTGGTGTGTACCAGCTTAAGAAATTGGCTGAAAATACCTACCTATAAGGCTATAAGACTAAAACCTAAGCTTAACATGGAATATATTATTTAAGAATAGATTATAATATTAAAGATAAAAATAGGTTTATTATTACCCATTTTCATTTTTAAATAGGTACCTAATAAAAACAATATGCCCACTAGGCGGAGTGTAACTAGCAAACTAAACTGCTAAAGTTTCCTACAGGATGTATTGAAAAGTACAAAATGATGGTTATGCTATAGTAATAACTAATATTGTAATCCACACGCTTGAATTACACTTAAAAGTAAATTAAGATGCATAATTCAATAATATCGTTGCCTGCCGGCTGCCATAGATAATAATTTCGCGCTTAAATGGTAATAAAATTATTATGGTGACTATATTGTGTACAAGCCACAAAAATTGTTTACAATGAATGGCAGTCAATCCTTCATTTAGATAGGCACAGTAAAATGTTATTACTAGATTGTTGATTTATATCATGGTCATCGACTTCAAAATGATAAGTATAGGTGTAGTAATGTAGTATAATGCATTATTATATTAAGTCTACCGCCGTCTAAATAGGAATTATTATAATATTCACTGTATTATGTTGAATAATATCCAACACTCACTAACATCATAATAATAATATCATACAAAGATAATAACTTCACATTTAACACTATAATGCTGCATAATTTGAAGAAACCATGTACATATTAAATTATTACCTGGCACGGCCATGTGTTAAACAATTTTTAAACACGAGGCAAAACAAAATACGAGTATATAGGCTACTACTTAGCCAAAAAAATGAATTTCTATGTCTTATAAGTTATAATATTTAACAAACAATTTTTAACAGCAAAAAAAACAACATTTATACATTAAGTTTTGACCATATTAATTAATAATTAATGTATTGATTCAATAGGTAGATGACGGTAGATCAATTAAACTATTTGAACTGCCAACTTTAATCTCATTCGGCACCACTGCAATTATTTACTATTGTACCAATCATGTACCTAGTACACGGATAACCAATAATTCACATTGACTGAATATGCTGCAATCTGTTATGCTCACACTTGCTCTGTTCAGTTTGATCACAATAACACTTTTTTATATAGATTAAGGCAACAAGTAAAAATTTCACGACGGAAGATTTTTTTTGATTTTTATAACATTATGATCAAATTATTATTCATGTTAAAATAATAATGTATTATGATCTCAACCACGTATTTGTGAGATACAAATTATATCCAATAGGAATTTAAGTTTGATAAATTAGGTACATAATAGATTACAAAATAATCGATGTCTTTGAAATTTTTACTTCATTTAAAAATGTTACTCAATCCTCCATGACTTACAAGAAGTAATTTATAGAGTGGAGGCAATAAATTCCTACTTTGAAAGACTCAATGGGACTTTAAGATGTTGTTGTCTTTTCCACCATATGGACTGAATTTCTAAATTAAAATAGTATCAATCAAGTATTATTTTAATACTTAATAGTTAATAGTTATTACATATTAGTTATTAGAAATAACTATTATATTTTTAATAACTTATTATACAACAAATAAAACCAAAAATGATCAACTCATAACTTGGCAACGTTTAGAAAATCTAGTTCTCTGTTATCGCTAGCCGGGTAATAAATGTTGATTCATTTTTATAGGAATAAAATTAGGATTATTTAGGAGGTAATATTTGTATTTTAAAGAGGTACAGGAACAAACAATTATATTTATTTAATTAAAGGCTCATATATAATAATAATAATATATTTTGTGTATCTACATGCCAATACACTAATTACAATAATAATTATAAAGATATAATGATAATATTATAATTTATAAATTATATTATATTGTTATTAATTTTATTTTGGAATGTTTATTATAATTAACGCCACGGTAAAAATGAATTTTAACTTTAACGAAACCAAAGCCATTTTACAATAAATAAGTAAAGTAACATAAATATACAAAAAATTCATAAATTATATATCACATGCAAATTAATAAAAAAATTAACTAAAGGTGATGCCAAAAAATATAATATACTAACAAGATTTCTGTTAAAATAACATCACAATAAATCCGTAATAATAAAAACATATATTTATAAAAATGGACTGAATTTCTAAATGGAAGGTAACATAGAATTGAAAGAATACAAACAAAAAAATTAAAATAAAACAAAATTATACCTAATATGATTTATGCAATATATCCATAAACAATAATTGTCGGTTACATTATTTCACAATAATTAATTGTTTTCAATCAAAACAAAACCACAGTGATGAGTTTAAGTTAAAACTAACAATATTTATAATCAATATAATATATAAGTAATTTAAAATTAAATAAATTATAATAAAAAAATTATTGATAATTATAAATAAATAAGAATTGAATACAAGAATTTATTATGTTTCTGCATAAATATAAAGGGTTATTATATTACTTCTGACAAAAAAAAATAAATATATATTTATATATTCCACTATGTTGTTATAGAATTTCCAATATATCACTTTTGATATTAGACAAACTAATATCCAATACTTCTAAAATGTTCACTCAAAATCGTATCCAAATGTTGAATTTAATTTTAGTATTTAACAAATAAAATAATAAATTAGGTAACTGATGTATAATTACATTTTTTTAAAACAATTTAGATATGATTTTGTCTGAACCGAACACTGTACACTAGTACACTGTATATGTCATACCTATTTTAATTTGATACAAGTTTTTCAATAATGATAATTTACCTATAACATAATATATACAATATATTATATATTGTATTTTACTGACATGGGAGTATTTATTTTAATTTGATAAAAAATAAATATATTACAATTATATTATATTGTATATAATCCACGGTACCTACTATAATTAGATGATCTAAGTATATCTGATAGAGAGTGTAATTTTATAAATATTTATACAGCTATATAACTTTTAAAGGGATTAACAATATTATATTGTCTGTTTAATATTTAATATTATATTATTATTACATCAAATAATATTATTCATTATAAAATACATAATATATTATTTTTTTTATTTTTAAATTAATAGATATTCATGAGGTAAACGAATAGGATATAATTTAAATCAAACTTTATTTTATATTGCACTTAATATTAAGTTAAAAAACTTAACAAGATCATAAACTAAAACTGTTACTTTATTCCTAAAGGAACAATCT